CCTTGAGAAACAAGTCAGATTACATTAGAGACTGGTCTATTCCCGCAGATCCAACAGTCGTGTTTAGAGCCCAGCTTAACATATCTTATCTTGGAGGGATATTGCTAATCTTCCCAAATTCTGAGTTAAAAAAAAAAAAAAAAAAGTCAAATTAGGTGGAGATTGTTCTCTCGATTTGAAGATTTCAAAGGTGAATTTCTTTAAAGTACTGGGCTCCATAAGTGGACGAGTGGAAGACAGTATGTCAGGTGTAGCCGTCAGCGTCGGTGGGCTCCATGTGGAAAGCAGCGTGAATTCCCACAATAAGCACTTGGAGCTTGTGGATGAAAAAGGGGTCACAGGCCAAACCTGACAAGCTCAGGGGAGGCCACATGGCGGGCCTTACAAACTCAGAAGGAAAGTAACCACAGAGAAGGGTCCCAACATAAAAATTCCTAACTAAAAGCAGATGAAGGTCACGGTGGGTAGTCACACCCTAGGCCTGTAGCTTCAGTGCCAAAGGTCAATCTTTACCTTAAGTAAGTTTATTGTCTTTTTGCATCTAAGATAACATACCTTTGGAATGTCAGTCCCCTTTACCAGACCAGAGCCCTCAGGGTATAGCCAGCACACCAGAGCACCAGACCACGGAGCAGCTTCGTGCTGTAAATGTGAACTGTTAACTGTGCTATACCCACCAATGTAAAAGAACTACCTGTCGCTCCATGCTACTTTGTATCCAGTCCCACATATTTCCTGGCTTTGCTTTCTCCTGCCTCCCTAATCTCCCGCCAGTGGATGTCACGCAACCCTCCTTTCTTTCGAATGTATAAAATAAGCTGTAAGGCTGCCACTCTCCGGAGCAGTTTCTCAGTCCACTGCGTTTTTGCTTCCCGCTGTCCGCTTGGCTCAAATAAACTCGTAAAAATTCTCTACAGGTTGGGATGTTCCTTACATCGACAAGCTTCAGGACTAAATACTGATTATCTTGTACCCAGGAGCCCAGCCTGCCCAGAGCTGCACGCAGCCCACGGTGGTCAGACTCGAGTTGAACACTGTGTTGAAATGGGCTGTGTTCCGGTGTAACCTGCTAAAGAACCAAAACAAGCTGTGCTCATCTGTACCTCCTTCCTCACTCAACATGTTTGCGATACAGCCCACACTTTGTCAACAGCAGCAAACCCAGTGTGGGCCGGACTCCCCGAATCCAGCTCATGAACGTGTTAGAAGATGGCACCTGCCGTGCTGGAGGGCAGGGGAATGGGAAGCACGTCCCCTTGTTTCCCTAGCATCTGACTCTGGGCAAAAACCAATACCCCATGGGAAATGATTCATGCGCACTAGCTGGGCTCCCATTCAGCCAACAAGCCCAGGACAAAGGAATGAATAGTGTTTTTCCCTTAGCAAAGGGAGTCACTGACTTCTTACTTCACAGCCTACTCTTCTTAATCTCTGCCCACGGCCGGCCCCAGACCTTCCAACCTAAGGCCATGGGGCAGACCCTTCTCTACCCATCTCCCAGGAACCGGGCTTCTGTTCTTTCATAACATGCAAGTGAACACACTGAGGATCAGGGTCAGATCACAAGCGGGAAAGCCCAGAAATGCAACTGGCTGTCTCCCCGCTCATAGGTACCCGTGCTAAGAGGGAGAAGAAAACCATGTTAGAGGCAGCCTAAGGTTCTACCTTCTAAAGTCCTATTGGACAACAACTTGCAGATGTATCATCTTTGTAATTTGCTGATAAACACCTTTGCCAAAAAATAAAGCAACAACAAAAAGCCACAAACAAGCCCTGGCCGGTTTGGCTCAGCGGTTGGAGCGTCGGCCTGCGGTCCAGAGAGACCCGGGTTCGGTTCCCGCTAAGGGCATGTACCTCGGTTGCAGATTGTCCCCGGCCCTGGTTGGTCGTGAGGGTGGCAGCCACTCGATGTGTCCCTTCACATCGATGTTTCTCTCTCTCTCTCTCTTCCTCTCTCTCCCTCCTGCTCTATCTGAACAAAAAATGGAAAAATGTCCTCGGGTGAGGATAAAAAAATAAAAAATAATAATAAAAAAGCCACAAACAAAAAACCCTCCCAAACATCAGCAACGCTATTTGGTAGGTCAGAGACATCATCCAGAAAGATCACTTACGCTCTGACAAAGGCCATCCTGGGACATGTATGATAAATGAGGCTGTCTGGTGCTCCCGAGATCCTCACTGTGCCTTCTGGATCAAATTCACACACTCTATGACCCCAGTGTGCCCTTTGCCGTGTGGGAATCCCAAGGACCCGGCTTTCAAAGGCTTAGCCTTAAGACTCGACTCTCAGGCCAGTGCCCTGAGTGGAATTAAACTCTCCTGCGAAATAAATCCACAGCATGAGAAGAGCATTTGCATCTATCCTAAGAAAATGTGCTCCTTTCAAAGTCAGCCATCGCAGTTAGAACCTGTACATGGGATTCAAGATAAAGAGTAAATTAAAATAAATTCTCAGAATTGAACCACAGATATCAAGAATTGAAATGAAACTCTTCATGAGGTGGGCTGATACACTTCACCAGAAACCACATCAGGTCAGTGTCCAACCTCCGTATTTGGAGACATATGAGACAAGGCGACGCAGGGGCAGGCGTATCCCTCAGGAAAGCGAGCTTGCTGCCCCCAGCAACATGACGTGGTGCTTAACAAGAGAAGCCCCCGAGTATTCAAGAAAACGGATTTAGACCTTACCGCTTTTCCCCACTGCTGTGGTCTAAATGTTTGTCCCCCGCCCCCCACGCATATGTTGAAATTCAACTCCCATAGACGATGGTATGAGGAGGTGGGCCTTTCAGAGGTGCTTAGGTCATGAGGATGGAGTCCTCATGAATAGAATTAGTACCCAGTGGCCATCACCACATACAGAATCAAGGCTGGCATCTGGGTCTTAGACGTTCAGCCTCCAGAACTGTGGGAAGTAAATTTCTGTTGTTTATGAGCCACCCAATCTGGTATTTTCTTATAGCAGCCCAAGTGGGCTAAGATACCCACTCTGCCTCATTCTCATGAGTAAAAGCTGCCCGACCACCAGATGTGACATAAGAAGCCACGCTTCAGTAGTACTCGTAGTAGGTCAGTCTCTCCTGAGGAGACAGTGTAGCCCCGTGTTCACAAACATCGTTTGAACTCTGGCTTCACTACCAGTGAGTGGTCTGGTTATGAAGCCTTTCTAGAATTCAGTGATTCATCTGAGTAACATGAATAATATTCTTGTTATATAGTAACACCGTTAGGAGGATCCCCGGAGAAATGCAGGCAAAGTGCTGAGCCTGTGACGAGTACTCCTTTTAGCTGCTGCTGCCACTGCTACTATTTTGATTTACAACAGAAGTCCCTGTCTAGTACCGAAGCCACTATCCTTAAAAATGAAACATGGGGAAGGCGCTCTCTGGGGTAAACTGAGCAGAGATGGATGGATAAGCCATGGACAGGAGAACAAAAATGCGCTCAGGGCCCAGAGTCTGACACCAGCACCAGGAAGGGCTCTGAACTCCCCCCGCCCTCAGAGATGGTATCAGCAACCACCGCCAACCGTGCGCTGGGCTGACAGATGGACACAGAGGCAGGGAACCCAGGGGGAGCCTCGGCAGCACCCCGCGCCTGGCTAAGAGCGCTCACAGCGCCTGGGTCTAACGTGGCGGGGCAGCTCCTGACTTAAGAATGAGTGCAGATTCCCGAGGACCTTCACGAGTCCCTGTGCCCGTCCTGCAGCCCGGCTCCAGCTCAGCAGCCTTCTGCGCCTCACAGCTGGGGTCTGGCTACATCTAGCTGAGGCTCCAGGGCCCTGCAGGAGATGAGCTGGAACACATTTCTGCAGAGTGCCTCCCCCTTTGTTTCCCCACGTCCTTCCAGCATCGTCGACCATCCTGCTACAATCTTTACGGGTCTCCGGCCTCTCTTCCTGTTTTGACTCTTGGGGTATTTAAGATTTCCTGTCTCTAGAGCTTGCTTATGTTTTCATAATGGTGCCAACTCTATGATGAACTCGCAAAAGGAACAGCACTTAGCAAGGCTAATAGCACATTTCAATCAGTAAACTACGTAGACACTCATGTTCCTACTATAAGAGAATTCTTCTCAAAAGATGGCGACAATTGCATCCCAAAAAGAAATAAGGAGTATATATGGCAACTAAGTTATAATATGATTTCAAGAGTAGGAGGACGGTGGCAACAATGGTCAGACACCCACCATCACATTTCCCGCTTTACCCAACCTCCTTCTGACTCAATTTCCATCTCTCACGCCCTGAGCTCTAACATCCACCGATTCCAAGCCTTTCAGTGTGTGGCGCATCACGATCAAAGGACTGCGTTGTGAAATGGAATCAAATAATATCTGGGAGGAGGCTCCAAATGAAAAATACTGTCAGGCAGGACATTGCCCATAGATAGTTCACCTCTTAGAGTCTCAACTGCTGAGCAAGGTAGGGCAACAGTGTAGGCACAGATTTTTAAAAATAGGTCCGGCCCGTGTGCCTCAGTGGACTGAGTGTCCTCCCAAGGACTGAGGTCCCAGTTAGATTCCCATCAGGGCACATGCCCGGGGTGCAGGCTCGATCCCCAGTAGGGGGCGTGCAGGAGGCAGTCGATCAATGTTTCTCATCGATGTATTTTCTGTCTCTCCCTTTCTCTCTCTCTCTCTAAAAAAATCTGTAAAAACATATTTTAAAATGGAATAAATCATTTCCAACATTAAAACAGAAGAAAAGAGAGCAACAACATGTTCAGCACTTGCAGGATTTGTCTGTAACAGGCCCTTAGCAAACCCCAGTTGAGCAAATTCATGAACAGTCTCTTCCCAGCCTCTCAAGCCAGTTTACAAACACCACATGGGGACAAATTTTACTCTGCAGACAATGTTGATCACTACATTATTCACTTCTCCTAATGGACACGCAAGCCTTTGTGAATTTAATTCCAACAGCATGAGCATGGACGGCTGGATCGAGCTAGGAGTGCGAATTACGGGAGGAGTTACCAGCAAGCAGAACTCACCTGTAGATGATGCCTTTCTCGTGTAGAAACATGAGCGCCGAGATGATTTCCGCAGCATAGAAACGAGCTCGTGCTTCATCAAAACGACGAGACTTCTGAATGTGGAACATCAAGTCGCCCCCATTCACAAACTCCATCACGAAAAACAGGCGGTCCTGGACACAAGCATGAGAGGGTCCAGTCAGCATCAGGCTACCTTGGGCAGCAGCATGGGGGAAAGGATGCCACATGGAGGTCCTCAAGGAGACATCCTGACACAGGCTCTGGGCAACGCAGGATGGGTCTGGGGGCGTTAGCGCCCGGGGAGGAGGCAGGGAGTACCACCTGGGTCTCCTTTAAGTAATTCCACACAGCCTTGCATTTCTACATTCAATGAAAAGTAGAGAAGGCATCGGAAGCCTTTGGTTCTAGTTCTAGCATTACAGCTCCAATGCCAGGTAACCTCGAGCTTAATTTGTTTGGACCTTCAACATTAGTAAAGCAAGGACACGGATGTTAGCCCTGCCCAAATCCCAGGGTTTCATACACTGAGAGAGAGCAGCGCGTGTCGAAAGGTACCTGCCTTTCACCTGGAACACTCGGGGTTAATCACAGGAAGTTGGGGACATCTTACACTGCTTTAGCCATTAGACAGAGAACAATCACAGAGAAAGGAAAATGCTTTGGACAAATCAGCCACACAGCTGCCTCATGACAGCCTCAGAGTAACCCCAACATTCAAAATCCCATTCGGCCCATCAGAAGTCCGAGTCGGAGTGGGGACGGAAGGCAAGGAGACACCATCTCTAACGGGGGCTCCCAGCCCGCAGGCTCAACAGCTCCTTGAAAGGTGACGGATGCTGGGTTCTAAGGACTGTCCACGTGGTGTGGACAAAGTGCTATGGAAATCAAGGCAGCTTGATGAAAGGGATGTTTTGGTCCCAATTAAAAAGCAGCAGCTCTGAGATTGACAGTGTTAAAGGCTTTGTTTCAGGAACCAGGGAGATCAATGGATGTCTTCACGCCCTCCGACTAACATTTATGAGTCCCAGGTTAGCCAGGTGTTCAATTAGGTGCTGGGAACCCAACAGTCAACAGGCATAAAACAGACACGGCCTCTACCCATACAGAAAGGTGTGGGAGACACACATTCCTTAAAAAACATAAACAAAACCCCCAAAGTCAAAGAAACAAGCAGATTTACAAATTCTGGTAAATCCTGTGGAGGAAACGTGGAGGAAGGCGTGGGATCCGGTCATCTGCTTGGGGTCAGGAGGGGTCTCTCTGAGGGAAACTAAGGTCTGCGGGACAGTGCCATCAGGGCTAGTGATCAGCTTTTTCTGAGGTCGGAGGAGGGTGCGGTGTCATTTTGTGAGGAAATTGGCATTTTACCGACTCACAGAGGATGTGTCTACAAAGCATCCATCTTTACTTGTGGTTTTAAGTGCCACCAGCTTTGGGCTGTAAGCAAAGACTGTGTGTGTTCTCGCCCATCTATTCACTTGTTTAATCAGGCCCACCCTGGTCCGAAGACACTACCACTTACCACCTCCTGGTCTTCATTTTCAGACCTTGATTAGAGGGGGAAAAAATCTCCCGTCTCTATGAAATGTCTCTCTCTGCTCAGGACAAGCGAGAATTTAAGAGTGAGAGGGAGTGCCAGGGTCCACACCCACAGAAACAAAAACCAAACAACAATGACACAACTCTGAAGCTGGCCAATGTAAGCCAACAGAAAACTCAACACAGCAAGCTGGCTGACGAGGTGAACGGCCTTCATTTGTGTGTGGCTGACCGGGGGAGGGGAGGGGCTGGGGGAACCGGGGGAGGCAGAGTTGGGTGGGATGAGCTTGGGAGAGCAATGGTGTCCCAGGTTTGCCATGTGGGAAGGACCCAGGTGGGGTGAGCAGGTTGGCGGTGGGGAGGAGGATATCTAAGTGACACATCTAAGAGCTACATCCACACAGGCAGGCACTGTTATGCTGATTGGGGGTGGGGTGGGGTGTGTGTGTGTGTGTGTGTGTGTGTGTGTGTGTGTCAGGGGCGGGGGTCGAAGACCCAGGTGGTAAAGCCACCCTGAACTACCCCACAGCATTTTTCTTAACCAGCCTGTTCACTTTCTTCATGGCTGTGACTGGCAGTCCTGCGAATTCCAGTAGCCGGGAAAACCCGACGGCTGGAGCGGGGTCAGTGGGTAGTGGCTATTGTGGAACTCAGCGCGCTTGCCTCGAGTTGCGGAGGCAGCAGGCACCAGAAAGATGAGGGCCTTCCAAGGCAAATGTCATCCACTTCTCGTTCCCCCCAAATCATTCTCCTATCTCAAGTTTGGAACAACCAGACCCTGGGGAGAGGAAATACTTACTGCCTTCTAATGCAGCACCTTCTCCTCTTTCTCAGGCTCCACCCCACCCCCCCAGCCCTGGAGGCAAATTCTCAGATGGGGTGGGGAGGAGGCATGTGCACCTGTGATGCAGAGCAAGGTGGTCATACGCTTTAGAATTGTGAAAACACGGGCTCCTTTGCATTCCGTCCCATTTCTAACCTCCTGTCTGGCGGAGAACAGCGGGCACGACTCACAGCCCGCAGGCTACGTGAACTCAAACAGGCGGAAGTGGAAACGAGCCAGCAGAGATATCAAATTTAACAGAAAATAATGGTCTAGCCCATCAAAGACCTCACGTAATGTCACAAGGTAGAAAAATAAAAACATAGTTATCACCTAGCCAAGTGTTTTTGCGGTGTGGAAACCTGTTTATTTGAACCCATTGTCTCACTGAAACTGTTGGCGGCAGAGCCAGCTCAAATGTGGCAGCAGCCCTGGCAGGTGTGGCTCAGTGGTCAGAGCCCTGGCCCAGGGACTGAAGGCTGGCAGGTTCCATTCCCGGTCAAGGGCAGGTACCTTGTACCTCGGTTGCAGGTTCCATCCCCAGCCCTGGTTGGGGTCATATAAAAGGCAGCCAATCCATGTTTCTCTCCCACTGATGTTTTCCCCCCGCCCCCACTCTATTTAAACATCAATGGGGGAAAAATTGGCATCAATTTCTCTGACATTTCTTTTGCAGAGGAGACACATAACAAAAATCTCCAGCTTTTTGCAAAGAAGATCTGCTCATCACGGAGGGTGGTGATGGTGATGACTGAGGCGAGTGAGGGCCATTATTTCATTAAGCACGTCCTCGGGGAAGGCTTCTAGAAAGTGTGTGGTCAACAGCAGTGGCTGCTGCTGGTGACTGTGATGAAGATGTTTTCAGTTAAAAAGAGACATAAATGTGAACGATCTCAGTTATAGCCAATGATGCGGATATGCGCAGAGAGGACAAAAAACCAGCCCTGGCCAGTTTGGCTCAGCAGTTAGAGCGTCGGCCTGCGGTCCGGAGAGACCCAGGTTCGGTTCCCGCTAAGGGCGCGTACCTTGGTTGCAGTTTGTCCCTGGCCTTGGTTGGTTGTGTGGGTGGCAGCCACTCGATGTGTCCCTTTCACGTCGATGTTTTTCTCTCAATCTCTCCCTCCCACTCTATCTGAACAAAAAATGGAAAAATGTCCTCGGGTGAGGATAAGAAAAACAAAACAAAAAAAACCAACCAACCCAGATAGTGACAGAAGTCAGCTTTTGGTGATGGGATCTGGGATGACACTGACTTGTTCTTTATCCCTTTCAGTATCCCTGAAGGTTTCTATGATAAGTGTGAATTACTTTTATAATTAGAAACAAGCCAAAGTCACATGAGCGTATGCCATATTTTTGTAATTTTCATCTGGAGGATGAAAATGAGACACTGGAAAGGAAGCCAGCCTGTCTCAGAGCACAGTTGGGTCCACTGTTAACCATCTGCTCCCTTAGTGGTCTTTCTGATCCTGAAGTTACCAGGCCACTGGGCTTGTTGGAACGACATCCAGAGAGAGACTTAACTGGGTCTGGTCTGTCCTCGGGCTCCAGTCTGAGTCCTGTCTGCAGGCTGACGGAGGCAGGCAGAGATCTTTGCCTCCTTTAAGGTTCTCAACAAGAAGGACATTCCCTAACCTCTCACTAGGCCGGGCCCGGCTGGGAACCAAGTGTGGCGACATGAATGAGATCCCATGCTCGCTCTCGGGAAGCTCACGGACATGTCAGTAGGGCACACGACCCAGTGCTAGGTGCAGTGGAGGGGCACAGAGGGTGGATGGGGACACAGAGCAGGAGCATCCCAGCACCCGGGGCTGGGACTTGGGAAGGCTGCTAAGAGGAGCCATTTCTCCAGCTTGAAGGACAAGGAAGCACAAGTCTGGCTGGAGTGGGGATGGAGGGGGCAAGGATCAAGGTGAATGAACAGGTGAAGTGTCAGTGTGAGGCGGGATGTCGTGAACGCAAAGGGAGATGTCCCCAAGGGCTGAGGCTTTTGAGGGTGGGGCATCCCTGTAACACAGAATCAAGTGCTGGTAGAAAAAGCAAAAGGCTAGTTAGAGTGCTTCCTTTCACCCCATCCCCAGGCCACCACAACTGAGCTAGGCAGGACAGTCCCATGAATACACACGGCCACTCGCTCCTGGTCTCTACCGTAATTACAGGCCCAGTGTCTGGGCCAAAGAAGGGCGCAGACGTGGGGCTTGGCTGGAACAAGACTCCGGGAAGTGTTGGCACCTCCCTCCCTGCCACATGAAGCAAAACACCATCGGCTACAAAAACAAGTCACTCCAGTTAAATGTCGCTCCTCCGCCGAGTTCCAAGGACCTGAGGGAACCTTGCACACACACAGGCCTGTCAGGAGCTCCGAGAGCAGGCGGCAGGCCACGTCCGCCTCAGCTCACTGAGTCTGTGCTGGTCCCACTGACTCCCTGACACACACGAGCTCGTGCCCCACAAACTCAGCTGTGAAGCAACCACGATCCCTGCGCGCAGGGCACAGGGTGCAGGGCGCAGGGCGCAGGGCAGCGTGCGTTAGGTTGTCGTGCGTCACTTCTGGGGCAGGAAGAGCTTCCAGATCCCACCCTGGACAGTGAGGGCAGACAGCTCTTCTGTCTTGAATCTGTGGAGACAGCCATCTCAGTGTTTCTCCAGCCCCACTTCCTGGAATCGGGGTCTGGGCCCCTGGCCAGCTCTTCCTGGGCCCCTGGCTGCTCTAACCTGTGTGGTAGACACCAGGGCCCCCGAGACTGGCTTAGCCTTAGTTCCAAAGCCAAGTGGCCCGGTGCTTCATCT